GCCATCAGCAGGTACTGGCGCCCCGCCTCCAGCCGGGGGCAGTCGCACAGGTTGGGCACCCAGAGGAACTCGCGGTGCTCCAGCCGGAAGCGGTTCCGGTAGGTGTGGAGGACCTGGACGTCGTAGCGGGTCTCCTCGCCCCGGTACAGCTTCCCCAGAACCTTGGCCCGAAACACTGAGGGACAGAAGGGGAAAACACACCGGTCAGGCATCGCTCTGTAACGCTCACACGGAGAGGAAACGAGGAAAAACCAGCCTCACCGAAGTCCTTTTGGCAGTACTGCCTCTGCCGTTCCCTGCGACCTTTGACCCGTGGACATCTGCCGCAGTTCCCTGAAGGGGAAAAAGACTAGCAGTCGTCAGGTTTTTCTTATCTACAGGGAACCAGTGGCCTAAACAGGTCATCAGGGTTGGGAATCTGGAGTTAGCCAGCAGGCTAACAGCTCTGACCAAAAGCAGCCCGATTGGTTCTGTTCTGTCTGTGGGCTCCAGCAGACTAAATCTGAATATTTCTTCCTCATATTCAGAAAGCAGCAGAAAATGTTCTGTCAGCAGATCTCCTGGAACGCTGTGCTGTAATATAATATTATTAAAAACGTTTTCAGCTCCTCTCAACCACCTCATGCCTCCAACGATTTCATAGAAGTGATGAGAAACTGCAGGATAACATGGAGGACGATGGATTTAAAACGAAAAAGTTTTTTCTTTGTTGATTCCCTGTTTATTTTGCATGTATTTGATATAAAAACTTCCTTTGCCAACCCGTCCTACCTCACAGAGCTGAGCACACAACCCAAACTAACCCAATCCTGCCCAAAACGGACCAAAACTGGTCCAAAACGGATCCAAACTGGTCCAAAATTGACCCAAACTGGTCAAAAACTGACCCGAAACTAACCCAAAACAGACCTAAACTGGTCCAAAATGGACCAGAACTAACCCAAAATTTACCCAAACTGGTTCAAAAGGGAGCTAAACCGGTCCAAAACTGGTCCAAAGCCTACCCAAACTCACCCAAATCAGTCCCAAATAGGCCAAAAGATAACATGGAGGGACGATGGATTGGTTCAAAACTAACCCGAACTAACCCAAAACAGACCTAAACTGGTCCAAAGGCAGTTTTTCCTCCCTGTGTCTCCTAGTGCTGCTCTTGGTGGGAACTGTTGTTCTTCTGTAAATAACTCAACTGCTCTGTTTGGAAAAGCTGGAAGATACCAGTTGTTATGAGTTGGCGCGCTATAGAAATAAAATTAAATTGAAAATCTTGAGGCTTCTTGAGAGAAACCCACAGAGAATGTGAGGTGGAATCAAAGCCGGAGGAG